CCCCCCCCCCCCCCCCCCCCCCCTCTAAGATAATTTCATCAAGTTCAGTTCCAGATTTCGATGATGGTCAAGCAATGAACGCAGCATCAAAAGTATCTCAGATTACTCGACAAAATACTAAGTAAAGTGAAAGCCAAAGAAGTCAAAGAATTGAAGCCATTCACGGGTCCTCTTCACGCAATCTCCTCGACAAAATATTGAAGAGATTTAAGGCATGACCTATCTTATCCAATGTATTCTAAACTCCTCAATAAAATAATAAGGAGGCTAAAATACTTTAAAGGGAGTATCTATAGGCATCAAAAATTATCTATAGGTTTTCGAACACAGCTCAGGACAAAGAAAAGATGAAAAATGTCGCCATCCAAGTCATAGAGGATCATCCGATGCAAAAAAGAAGCAAAGAAGCACGCAAAATGACGAAACAGCAAGGCTCAAAGCTATCTCACAACTAGTGATATAGCCTGACATGTCTCAGATTCTGAGACACCAAATGGTGTCTTGGTTTCCAAGACAACAAAGTGTGTCTCGTGGGCCGAGACCGCATAAGTTGTCTCAAAAATGCTGAGGTGATATGACGTGGTTTTCAACAGTTTTCTTGATCTTCATGAGGTACACATGGCTCCATAATTGCTTGGGAGTATCCATACACACTGGGAAGCCATTACAAACTAAAACTCCACCAGATCGATGGTTGGTTATGAATTCGTATCTTCAAACATGGCTTCTGAAGCCTATAAATACTCCTCTAGCACCCTTGGGCACGAGGGCTGGTGGTACTGACATACGTGCGAGAGAACTCATGAATTTGAGAGCAGAAACCCACAAATTTTAGAGAGAAAGGCTAGATCATGGCGAACTTCATGCATAAAGTGATACGGGTGTATCTTCTCTTTGGAACTTAGCGATCCTCATGGGAGCTTGAGGATAGATGATTCTCATACTAGCATGAGAATAAGGGGTGTCAAACAGTATAAGGGAACACAGGAGGAAGCGTGGAACAAGACGACGAGCAGAAGAATCAAAGTACCCAGTTTTTAGCCTGTGAGTCGACTCATGACTGTTATGAGTCGACTCATCAGGTTGAGTCGACTCATGACTGTCATGAGTCGACTCATCGCTGGTTATTGAGATTTCTCCAGTTTCTGTCGAGTCGACTCATCTCAGTCATGAGTCGACTCATCGCTGGTTATTGAGATTTCTTCAGTTTCTGTCGAGTCGACTCATCTCAGTCATGAGTCGACTCATCGAGGGTTTCCTGGTTCGTTTGGGATTCTGTTCACACGAATTTCTGTTGGTTTTGGGTCTGGTTATTTACCAAATTGCCATCCACGTTTGTACACCTATATAAGGGATTGTTTTAGGGTTTCTAAATAATCAGGGAGTTAAATCAAGAGAGATTAACTTGTAATTGAGATTTGGAGAGCTTGTTCTTCAATTCTAGAGTGAGATTGTGAGAGATTATAAATTACATACTCATAATCTAGAGGAGGTATTTTCCTTCGCCCAAAATCTGAGTTATTCTGGTATTCTTATTCTTTCTCCTCAACCCACCTTTGATAATTCCGCGATCAAAGGTGCTCGCACGGCAACTCGTATCAAGTTGGTATCAGAGCAATCAGATCCTACGAAGGGGGCATCCTGTGCATGGTCCTGACTCGTTCGCAATACAAGGAGCTTGGCGAGATCCTTACTTCCTTGGAAGGAGCCCAAGAGTTAAGGAAAGAGAAAATGTCTGAAACAGATAACTCAACAAGACTTGATGCCATGGAGAAGCAGATCGAGACAATCGGTTCGACGCTCAGTCAGCTCGTGGGTCTCATTAACAAAGGGGACAAAAGAGAGGAATCTTCTTCGAAGGGTAAGAAGAAAATCATCGAGTCCGATGAAGAGAGCGAGAAGTCTGATTCGGACGGGGGAACCGAGGTTGTTAGGGCTGCTAGACATCAAGGGGGTAAAAATAATTACCAAAATTTAAAGATAGATTTCAAGGTGGAGATTCCTGTCTATGATGGGAGTGTCAATGTAAAAAAGCTCGATGATTGGATTGAGCGTATGGAGATGTACTTCACCCTCTACGGATATTCATCCAAGGAGAAGATTGTGTTCGCGACATTGAAGCTTTCAGGACACGCATTGACGTGGTGGAAATCCTATTACAAACAGGAGAAGAAGGCAGCGTCGTGGAACAAATTCAAGGAGCTACTCAGGAAACAGTTCTATCCGGTGGGGTTCCTTGAGGAGCGTTGGTACAAGTGGTACGGCTTGCGCCAAAGATTCAATCAGACCGTTCAAGAGTACACGACGGAGTTCCAGCAGCAGGCGATGGTTCTAAACATCGCAACGGACGAGTACTCCATCTTCATGAAGTACATGGCGGGACTGAATGATTACATCCGTAAGGAGATGAAGCTGTTCACGGTCGAGACGATTGCAGAAGCGAGCGTGAAGGCAATTGCCATTGAGGGAAAACAGAAGAAGGGCAGCGAAACAAAGGGTGACTCCAAACAATCGGGAAACAAGTCGAGTAGCTCTCAACATAAGGAAGAGAAGAAGAAGGGTGATTCAGGGAAGGCAGGATTGACATGCAATCACTGCAAGCAGACAAGGCACGTGGCTGATCGTTGCTGGGATAAGTACCCTCATCTGAAGCCGAAAGGGTTGAAGAAGAAGGAGGAGAAAAAGGCGTATGTGATAGCACAGGGTCCGAAAGAGGTGTGAAGCATCCGAAGCCCTATCCATTAGGGTGGATTCAGAAGGAAGCGGGATTGAGTGTGGTGAACCAGTGTACGTTCCGATTTGCACTCCATGAGTCGTATATTGATGAGGTCACATGCGACGTGGTTCCGTTGGATGTTTGCCAGGTTATTTTGGGCAGTCCTTACTTGTGGGATAGACACGCGGTATATGATCGGCGGGCCCAAAAGTATACGTTCACCAAAGATGGCGCGCAATTTATTTTTCGCTCGGCATCTCTTCCGCAGGAGACAAGTTTGGTGACGGTGACTCAGGCTAAGAGGTTGGTGAATGCGGGCAGGAGGTTCGTGTTATTGTTCATTCGGCCTTATGAAGAACAGCTGAGTAGGATATGCTTGTCCACATTGAGCAAGCTTCAGGAGGGAGATCTTGACAGTTTGAAGGCCAAGTATGCGGATTTGTTTTCGGAAATCACGGGACTACCACCACGGCGAGGTGTAGAGCACGAGATTATGTTGACTGGCGAGAGTTCCTTGCCAAACATAGGCCTATACCGCACATCGATACAGGAGTCCGAAGAGATCAAGAAGCAAGTTCAGGAGCTCTTGGAGACGGGAGTGATAATGCCAAGTTGTTCACCTTGCGGGTCGCCGATGTTATTGGTGCCCAAAAAGGATGGAGGTTGGTGCATGTGCGTGGATTACCGGGCGCTCAACAAGATAACTATCAAGAATCGTTACCCACTACCACGGATCGTGCCAAGTTGTTCACCTTGCGGGTCGCCGGTGTTATTGGTGCCCAAAAAGGATGGAGGTTGGCGCATGTGCGTGGATTACCGGGCGCTCAACAAGATAACTATCAAGAATCGTTACCCACTACCACGGATCGATGATCTTATGGACCAGTTAGAGGGAGCGAGGTTCTTTACGAAGTTGGATCTGAAGTCTGGCTATCATCAGGTAAGGATTCGGGAGGAAGACACTTGGAAGACGACGTTCAAGACCAAACAGGGCCTGTTCGAGTGGTTGGTGATGCCGTTTGGATTATGCAATGCTCCGGCGACTTTTATGAGGCTCATGAATGATTTGTTGCGACCTTTCATAGAGGATTTTGTGATTGTGTACCTTGATGATATTTTGGTGTACAGCAGGACCTGGGAGGAGCATCTTGTTCACGTGGAGAAAGTATTTAGAGTGTTGCAGGATGGACAACTGAAGCTCAACGGGAAGAAGTGCGAGTTTGGGAAGGACGAGTTGGTGTATCTCGGCTTTATCGTGGGGAAGGGCCAGAGGAGGATAGATCCGGGTAAGGTGGCGGTGATCACAAAGTGGCCGACGCCGAAGACAGTGACTGAAGTGAGAAGCTTCATGGGGGCTTGCCAGTATTTGCGCAAGTTCATTCGACATTTTTCAACTTATGCGGCACCATTACATGGCCTCACAAAGGCTAAGGTTCAGTTCGAGTGGGGAAGGACGCATGAGGAGGCTTTTCAGTTGCTAAAGAGGAAGATCTCGGAGGCACCAGTATTGGCGTTGCCGAATTTGCAGCGGACTTTCGAGGTGGAGACCGACGCATCTAGTTATGCGATGGGCGCGGTGTTGATTCAGGATGGGAAGCCGGTGGAATATCATTCTGAGTTGTTTTCGGGTGCTATTGCGAAATTCAGCCCTTGGTTCCTTTGGAGTATGTATAGCTGTACGCATCCAGTAGAGACTTCGGTAGTGTGTTTGAGCAGGTGAAGGCTGGTCAAAAGGGGGAGTATGCACTTGGAGAAGATGGCTTGTTGTATCGTGGAACATCACTATGTATTCCGGAGGATGGTGATAGGTTGCAATGGATTCGGGAAGCACATACCTCGCGTGTGCAAGGGCATTTTGGAATTCAGAAGACGCTTCTCAATCTACGGCGACATGTGTTTTGGCCACGGATGCTTGATGATGTGACCAAGTATGTTGGAGGGTGTAAGTTATGCTGTATTTCGAAGCCTTCTAATAGAAAAAGGGGATTGTACCTACCACTACCGGTTCCTTCTAGGCCGTGGGAGAGCATATCTATGGACTTTCTAGGAGGATTGCCGACTACCAAGCGTGGGCATGACTATTTGTACGTTGTGGTGGACCGGTTCAGTAAGATGGTGTTTTTGATTCCTTGTAAGAAGACCGTGACGGGAGCGGGTGCAGCACAATTGTTCTTTAAGCATGTGTGGAAGCACTTTGGGTTACCGAGCTCGATTATTTTGGATCGGAATAGCCGTTTTCTCGGGCATTTTTGGGATTCTTTGTGGAGTCTGATGGACACTAGATTAAAGAAGAGCACGGCTTTTCATCCACAAACAGACGGGCAAACGGAGGTAGTCAACCGGACTATGGTGCATATGTTGCGGGGGTATAATTCCAGGCATCCCAAGACTTGGGATGAGAGCTTACCATATTTGCAGTTTGCTTTTAATCGGGCGATTCATGGATCTTCGGGAAAGTCACCGTTTGAGACTTGTTATGGATTCTTACCACCGAGTCCGTTTGATCTCGTGTTTTCAAGTGAATCTACGATGGACGGCAAGGAGGGGAATGAAAGACAACGGGCTCAGCGATTTCTGGAGAAGATTGCACAGATTCATGCCACGGTTGAAGCACAATTGAAGAAGTCACAAGCAAAATACAAGGCGAAGCATGATCAACATCGGGTTCCTTGTAACTTTGGCGTGGGCGATATGGTGTGGCTGAAATTGAGTAAGGAGAGGCTAAAAGGAGAAGGCAAGAAGTTGAAGCCTATTCGTTATGGTCCGTTTCGGATTCTCGATCAGATTGGCGACAACGCTTTTAGGCTGGATTTGCCGCCTTACTTAGGCATGTATTCGGTGATCAATGCTGAGTACTTGAAGTTGTTTGAGCCTCCATTACTGGATGATGAAGGTGATGACAAGGTGATCTTACCGCATGTTGATGACTTATGGTTTGATAGAGAGGAGCCGCTGAAGGAAGACTGCATTTTGGAGCGAAAGACGACCACGACAAGAAGGGGAATGAACGAGTCGTTTCTTATCGGACGTCAATGTCAAGTTCCTAGCAAGGCTAAGTGGTTCAATAAGGAAGGAGGGGCTCGCGAGTTTCCTCAGCTGAAGTTCTAACTTGAACGGGACTTCAAGTTCTTAAAGAGGGGACACATGATACGGGTGTATCTTCTCTTCGGAACTTAGCGATCCTCATGGGAGCTTGAGGATAGATGATTCTCATACTAGCATGAGAATAGGGGGTGTCAAACAGTATAAGGGAACACAGGAGGAAGCGTGGAACAAGACGACGAGCAGAAGAATCGAAGTACCCAGTTTTCAGCCTGTGAGTCGACTCATGACTGTTATGAGTCGACTCATCAGGTTGAGTCGACTCATGACTGTCATGAGTCGACTCATCGCTGGTTATTGAGATTTCTCCAGTTTCTGTCGAGTCGACTCATCTCAGTCATGAGTCGACTCATCGAGGGTTTCCTGGTTCGTTTGGGATTCTGTTCACACGAATTTCTGTTGGTTTTGGGTCTGGTTATTTACCAAATTGTCATCCACGTTTGTACACCTATATAAGGGATTGTTTTAGGGTTTCTAAACAATCATGGAGTTAAATCAAGAGAGATTAACTTGTAATTGAGATTTGGAGAGCTTGTTCTTCAATTCTAGAGTGAGATTGTGAGAGATTGTAAATTACATACTCATAATCTAGAGGAGGTATTTTCCTTCGCCCAAAATCTGAGTTATTCTGGTATTCTTATTCTTTCTCCTCAACCCACCTTTGATAATTCCGCGATCAAAGGTGCTCGCACGGCAACTCGTATCATAAAGAAGAAGATTTCGAGAGATCTGCAAGCCTTCACCCCTTTCCTTGAGATCAAACATCGCTTTGATCTTGAAAAGAGTATTTATTTCACATCGCTGAGATATTTACTTCTGTTCTTATTTTCCAGTTAAAACAAGAACATCGAACCTTCTTCATGATCAACCCATATCTGTGAATCGGTGATCCACGGGCTAACGCGTCCCCAGCACAGGCAAAGATCTCACGTAAGTAGCGACTGGTAAACAATCTCTGCGTGTGTTTCTAGGATATCCTCTGTTTGTTTCTTTTGTAAGAAGAAGTCTTATAAAAAGGCTCACTCTTTTATTTCTATTTGTAATCGATAAACATTTGTAATGGATTTTGCAAAGAAATTGATTTCCGATGCAAACACGGACATGTGATCATATGGATCCAACATGTCAAGGCATTTGTCTTGATGTCACTTGAAATACTCGATCCCTTATGGTTTTCTCTAGCTCTTGCCTTAGTTTAAGCAACATAGTTAAAGAGTTATTCCTCTTATTTCTGCTAGAAACGACCGATGAAGAGGTTAGAGGGTTGTCAAATGTTGTGATTGGACATTTTAAGGAGGAGTTGTTCCAGAACTTAACCTTTTCGCTCAAAGTGTTTGAGAACTATTGACACATTAACCAGTTGATGGATCACAATTGCTTGAATGATCAATGGGGCACCCCTTCTCCTTATATACATCCATCTTGGGAATATTAATCTGTTGCTAGGGTTCATGATGTCATCAGTCAAGGGCAATCTTTTATCAAAGTGTTTCTCTGTTCTTTTGATCGATCGCCTTTGTTGACATCCAAATCAGGTTGAGTTGGTGTTTCATTCATTCTTTAGACATGAGAGCGAAACTTTTTAATGCATAAGGGTTGTGCAGATCGCCTGCAAGGTTGTGCGATTATCATCAAGGCATCTTACACTCTTCTTTGTGAATTAAAGTCAAGCTTATCTTTTCAAAAGCTGTTTTAATTTTCTTTTTCTCAATCACCATGATCATGACCACCATCTGGTTTTG